GTTAGGCCGCGTTTGTGCTGGTCCCCGGGGAGACGCTCCACTGTGATTATGAATGTATGAGGCTGTCCTCTGTTTATATCTATATAAACAGACGTGAGCTGCAGGGTGCGTGTGTGTGTGTGTGTGTGTGTCCACGTGCGCTCATGGTTGATGGGCTTTGGTCGTAGCCATTCATTAGCCCTACCCCAAACTCCCCCCTCCCCTCCCAGGCCCGCGAGCCACAGCCTTGCAGCCCCTGTGAGGAGTTCTTCAGATTGAATTGGAGGACGGACGTTGGAATACACACAAAGGTAGGCAGTTTGTGGGTCATAATCAACCAGAGAGGCGGGGTAGGAGGGGGAGGTGGAAGAGGACTTCACAACGAAATCTACCACTCAGACCGATGGACTGTTGCTTTGCCTGCAAGCCTCTACCATAACCACCTATTAAAAGCCCGAGTCCACTTCTCGAGGCCAAAAATCTGTCGCGCAAAGCGGTTGAAGGGATTTCAAAACGGTCCAGTCGATTGCCATGTCGTCTGACCGCCCAACCCTTGGAGTATGTTCTCCTTCGCGGGAGTGCTTGGCTCTTTCTTAGCCTGTCCACGATTATGTGAAAACACTCAAACTGAAGTCCACTTCAGTCGGGAGGACAAAGTGGACATTTATAAAGAATCCTGAATCTTGATTAGTTGACTTAAGTAAAGTTTTGACACCAATATTTTGTAGCTGTTTCTTAAAGTATAAAGTACTGGAAGTGAAAATCTTTTCCAATCATACAGTAAAGACGATGTCGATCAGATGACACCCATTTTTCAGTTCGCCGGCGCTGGCTCCATTTATAACATGCTTCATGGAGGGTCTGAATCTAATGTTTTGATTTTTTTCTAGGTGTTGGTCTCAAGCCTCTGGATTATCCCAGACTTATAGTCAAACGACTTTAATTCTTGCAGCATTTACATGAGTACATATGTAAATGCGTTTGTATGCGTTGCAGCGAAGTCCATCAGATTATAAGCTTGCGAGAACTGATTCAAACGCGCGTTTCCTAGTGTTCTGCTGCATGCGCTACTTAGTTTCCTACGTACGTTCAAAGCCTGTCCATTCGCGACTTGTGGAAGATGCCTGTTGATGGCAACATTGCAATAAGCAATGCACTACTAGTGTACTGAACGGATTTCTGCTCTAGAAACAGAATGCATCTTCTCTCACCGTTAAAACAATAGAATTCCCATTTTATGGGTAAAATTTGAAGATATTGCATGTTGTTCTGCCTTGAATGGTTTTTTACTAAAAGGTGGATAAGTCAGAAATGACCATCCCAGTGCTTCTTACTTTGACCGTAAACTGTCTCGACAGGCTTTCCAAATCAGGATCGACAAGCAAACATCATTTCTGACAGAAAAGTTATCAGGATTTTAAAAGTCAAAGCAAATTATAGACCACCCTGTATTTAGAGATGATCAGCTATCAGATTAGAAGTCCTGTGCTTGTTCTTTGCGCCTGGAATATTTAGCCGGCAGCTGTTATTCACCCTATTCTTTATCGAAAGCACGTCTGCGCAAAGTGACCTCTAGCCTTCCTTTTGATCACTTTCGTAAAGATTGGCCCATTAGTTTCGAGTGAATGACTATTTTTCTGGCCAGCTTTATAAATGCGTCTGATGCCTGAGTGACTGTGGTTGGCGAACGAATTGGCTTGCAACCAGAAGGACCTCAAAATGCCTCTTTCCCTATCACAGATTCTGAGCCAGTAGACTGAGCTCTGACAGGTGTAGATGAAACTGAGCGCGTTCGGCGACAGCGAAGCGTTCACCTGTCTACTCACGGCGCACAGGACCTAGTTCTTCATATTCCCGTCTAGCCGTCATCTGTTCTACAATCTGCACGAAAAAGAACTCACAGACAATGCAGCCATCTAGTCCTTTTGGCTTCCAGTTACTTGCCCTCGGCTCTTTATAAATTCCGTTTATTCGTAAAACAGGTTGACTAAGAAGTCCGGCAAAGCAACGCCCTGTCTAATTAACCGGCAGCGTTCTCGAGCGTGGATCCGTTTGGAGGGGCGGGTGGAGGGGGTGGCGAGAAAACCCTATCTACAAACGTTGCCGCGGGCAAAAATTCATTACGCAATAACGTTCGCGTGACTGATTTTCCCATAATAAGGAGAAATATCGGATTGTTTTACTCTGCTTCCTAGAAAACCAAAGTCTGAAAGGCTATCTTATAAGTTGTCATTGGCATAGACTGTCCAACCGACAGAGAGGTGAAGTGACGGTGGAAGAATGCCTGTATTAGAAATTGTGTTTATTATATGTCGTCAGTTGAAACTGAATGAAGTAGTATAACAAGCTTTTGGGCAACGATTGGGGGAAGGCCCCCAAACACACACGACCAGCCAAAGGTGCCCGTCTTACGGGGAAGGGGGCAATAGGGATTTTACGGGCGGGGACTGTGTATGTACAGAGGAATGGCAAAATAAGTATAGATAATTGGTAAATTTGTCTGAAAGATTGTCTTAAAAGTTGCCAGTGGCATGGACTGTCCAGCCAGCAGATAAGTGAAGGGACAAGGGAAGACTGCCCTCATTGGAAATTATGCTTGTTAGATGTTGTCGGCTGAAGCCGAATGAAGTAGTATAACGGCCTTTTTGCTTTGTTTAACGATGTCACTCCTCCCCGAAGCTCGCCAGCTGGGATGTCCAGCTGGGTCAAAACGACTATGGATCCAGAGACGAAAGTTGCTCTCGCGGGGGGTTTATCCAGCGATGCGAGTGAACAAAGGCTCAAGGACGGCAAGCAACTCCTAGTTTTGACTAAAATTCGGTCCAAAGATCTCACTGTACCACCCGGAGCAGGAACTTTTGAAGATTTATCTAAGGAAGGAAATATCGAATAATCTCATCGAAAAGAAGTGTCCTAGCTTGCTCCGGCACTTTAAGTTGCCTTCTGCCTGACTAACAGGGATGCGTGTCTAAGCGTTTTTCACAAGTTCTATTGCATTTTTTTACGTTATCATGTCTGGCGCCCAGTCCAATCGTAAGTTCGGTTAGCAAACGCTGAATACGACGGTGCCACTACACGCTGCAATGTTCGGGAACTTATCAAAGCCTTATTTTAGCAGTCGGACGTGACCAAATCTCTTGTTAAAATGTGAGTCACTTTGTTAGACGTGAATGGTCCGACATGAAAAGAACTCGCCTGCTACCCCGTCCCCAATGATTTTCTTCCTCCACCGCTTGCTCCGGTTAAACTTGCACTCCTGCCACGAGGACTTTACATATTACCTACATTTGTGTTACTTTCAGGAGATGACTTGTCGATGTCTACTCATTAATTTTCTGGATGGCCACGGGAATACGGTGTCCCGTATTACAGGTGACCCTGGGCTAAATTCCGTCAGGGATAAGGGTTAGTGTTAGATTTAGGGCAAGTATTAGGGCTACAGTCAGTGACCAATCTCATAAAGTGTTAACCGAAATACTTATATGCATTTTCTTCTATGAAGGACTGCTTAAGTGGAGTTGTAACATTGGTGAACGTGTGGCGCAACCTTGTGATATTTCAGACATACCAGGATGTCGGCTTTTTAATGTCCTTCTTTTCGGTCACCTTTAAAAACTGCAGTCGACAAACAATGACTACTCAAGTGGCATGCATTTTCTCAATTGATTTTCAATGCCCCTATAAACTCAAGTATTTTTCACATAAAACGCGTGCGAAAATATTCTTTCTTGCACTCATTCGCTAGTTAATAACGTTTTCTTCAATTTTTTATATTTGAAGAAAGGATAACATCTGGTTTAAAAAGTTTTCGGTTATGAGAATTTCAAGACCCTGCAATGTCCATTCGAATAACATCGTATCTGTCTGTCTAATAATGCTTCTCATTAAGTATGCAACATAGTCCAAATCCGTTCTAATATTTTAAGAGCCCCATGTGGTATTTTATTAATCGTATAGATGGATGTAGATTTTTTACGCAGAATACATATAGCTCAGAGACTGAAAACTCTAAATGAAAATGCAAAGACAGGTAGAGTTCAAATTATTCGGACATTGAAAAATTCTTTGTAAAACCAGACAATACCCTTTTTCAAATAGGACATTTAAAGAAGACATGATTTGTTGCCAAAGGAGTACAAAAAACAAAATTTTTGTGGGTTCTATATGAAACATATTTGAATTTACAAGACCATCGAAAATCGATGGCCTGGGTGGTGACCCGCAGTTCCACCTGAGATTAAAATTTCCAATCCCAACCGACGGCTTGCAGGCCCCCAAAATATGTGAATTATTCGTTCAACTCAAAGCCGCTGGTAACTTTAAGGGTCAGCTGTTTTAACCCTGAGTTGGGGTGATGGTGGGGTGGTGAAAGTGAATAAGTCGGAAATAACTTTGATGGTTTCCTGTTCCATTTTTAACACGCCCCCTAGATAATAGCATCCTCGCAAGTGCATTTTTGCCGCTTTTTCCAAGAGACTTACAGAGACCTCGCAAATTCAGTTTCTTAGAGAAGAGTTGACCTCCAGTCACAACTCGCGGCTGTATAGGCTACTCCTCTATCAAATGCCACGGCCATATTGTTGCGTGTTTCATCATTTTCCAGGTGCCATGTAATTTGCAATCTACTAGGAAAGGGCTACTGTGCGATTTCATATATCAGTAGTATTCATACTCCATCGTTTGTAGTAAGGCGAGGATTGTCAACTTAAACTGACCGATAATCTTTTTGATTGTGCAAAGTTTTCCGTTATTACAGAATGAGCATGAACAAGAGCATTAAGTGCTTCCGCCCCTGCTTTTAGAATAAAACATGTCGCTTTTATACTGCTATTTTCAGTGGAAAGACCACGTAGGTCTCACACCGACAAGTCAATAATAGGCCGCTTATTTAATGCAGGTAAAGGGCCTTCAACACTTTCTCGGGATAACTTATAGGCTAAACTTTAGACACCTTTTTCGCTAATTCTCTAAGGCTGCAGGACAAAATGGTGAGATTTCCGTTTAATTTTCCCCTCCAGCATTTCACACAGGATTTCTTCCGTAACTGAGTTTTTGCGTTATACCTGTACTTGGAGTACTGTAAAACACTCCCATTTACGGTCAACCCTTTCTTCCTGAGGCCTAGGCAAACCACACGTCGAGTTCCTCAGAGCAGCTCTTCTCTTCCCTCTTATTCTCTTTCCATTTAGGGCGCCTTCACGCTGATTCTAGAGGCCTACAGAATACAACCTCCAGGTGTGGCCCTGTCCATGATCGACCAGACAGTTTACCGGCATATTCTGCTGCCAACAACCTCAAGGGTCTGGCGTCCCCTCGTCATCAGCTCGCCCAGCTCAACATACGAGCTGGCCATCCAATTTCAGTGCTCTCCAAATCACTACGGACACGACTGTTCCAGGGTCTGCGAGCCTGTCAAAGATCGTTTCTCCTGCGACCAGCAAGGACGCAAGATCTGTGTGACGGGATGGAGCGGCCAGCACTGCGACAAACGTGAGCACTTGTGAATGCTGTTGTCTTCGCATTAACTGACTGTACCTTATACAGTGAGTGACCGATCTCATGAAATGTTGGCTGTAATTCTGAAATGCGCTTTCGATTAGGAAGGATTACTTAGGCGCGGTTGCGATACTGATTATCTTGCGGTATAAACGTATAACATTCCTAACTCGGCAGGATGTCAGCTTTTGAATATACTCCTTTTCAATCTCCTGTAGACGTCGTACTTGGTAAAAAATGACTAATTACGTAGCATGCATTTTTCCCATTGATTTTCGGTGATCTTGCGAATTCAAATATATTTTATATAAACCACGAACAAAAATATGCTTTATTTCGGTCCTTTGATAGAGAATCACGTCATCTGGATGTTTTATACACAAAGACGGAGTATAATTAGGCTTAAAAAGCTTTCTAATATCCGAATAATTCGGAGTCTGGTCAGTTGTTGGATTAGTGCTTAGTGATTTCAGTCTACAAGGTGCATGTGTTCCGCGTAAAGAAAATCACATATTCTTCTAGGCCTTTAAAAAGATATCATACAGAGTCCATAAAGTTTTACAATGGATGCGGACTATGTTGTACATTTCATGAGCAGCGGTGGTGAACGGACGGGTTCGATGCTCAAAAAATCTCGTAATTATAAACTTTTTGAAAGCCTAATTGTACTCCTTTTTCGAGTATAAAATATAAACAGGACATGATTTCCTGTCAAACGACTGAAAGAAAGCATATTTTTGTTCGTGGTTTCTATAACATATATTTGAATTTGCAAGATCACCGAAAATCAGTGGGAAAAATGCATGCTACTTAAGTAGTCATTCTTTACCGAGTACGCTTTCTACAAGAGATCGAAAAGCAGTGTATTCAGAATCCGACATCCTGCTGAGTCCGAAATGTTATAAGAGTATGCCGCAAGCTAGTCAGTATTACAACCGCGACCAAGTAATCCTTCCTAATCGAAAACGCATTTCAGAATTTCAGCCAACATTTCATGAGATCGTTCACTCACTGTAAGTCCAAGTAAACAGGACTGGAAGCGCAAAACATTGTGGGCAATATTGAAATTCGACCGACACTTGCATTTAACACCTAAATGTTTGGTGTCATCCTTGAACTCTTTCAACCGCAGTTAGCCAACCTGTTAAAATTGATTTTTCGGGCTTCACCCTTGCGAGTTAATCGATATGGTGAAGACAAATTCTTGCATACCCAAGAGCAAACGGTTTCGAGGAGCCCCTAATTCAAGTGTAGGAGGGCAAAAAGTGGGTCAGTTGGTCAACGGAGGAGTAATCAAGCCCTAGCAGGGGATGCCCATGAACAAGAATGGAGAAGACTGAAGAATATCCAGAATCTTGATTTATTGGACGTATGAAGCAGAATGCACCGCTTTTCCTCAGTGTTCCCATGCTAGTGGTCAATGCTCCCAGTGCATTTTTGAATCATGTTCTGTCGAATGTGGTTATGTAGCCCCACCTGAAGTAAACAGACCCCAGTCACCTCTAATACGAGACCGGTGGAAATAGGGGTTTCTACAGATGGGGTCGGGGAACGCACAGGTAACGAGGTCAGGTAGTTGTGTGCAGAAGAAAAGCTATTGGGAATGCGCGGTTGTACTTTGAATGGTTGAGAAATAGTTGAGCTTACCCCTAACTATGACCCTTTATCCTAAACCCTAACCACTAAGCATAACCCTCTAGCCCTTACCCTCAACCGCAACTCCAACAGTATTGTGTCCATCTGGTGGGGCCACCAAACCACATCTTTCCTCATGTTCTGACAAACTTGGCAGATCGTGCTGTTTGACGTAAATAATTAGCTACCAATAATCCTTGACTTTTAAAACCGAACTCAATAAGTCTGGCTAGCAAACTGCACGGCTAAATCAGATAAGATTTTAGGTACTCTCTCTCTCTATATATACCTATGGAGATTTGCCTCCGTACAGATTTATGTGTATGTATAAAACTAGTGGTCTCTCAAAGGAGTTTGTCGCAACTATTTACTGCTTGTTAAACAGGACAGTAAGACTACCGCATAAATGAGTAGAGTATTTTTACGCTTTACAGCAATCTGCCGCAAAGGCTGCCATGATATACATGGGAGTTGCAAGACGCCTGGGGAATGCAAGTAAGTATCTTGCTCATGAATGTTGATCATCTTTCCGATTGATTTATTGTTTTGTAGTTAAACAAAATTTTGTATTCTGTGACTTCCAAAGGAATCTTGGGCGCGTATTTTACATTCTTACTTAACTGGACTATTTTAGACCCTCAAATTTTTTGACTCATTTGACGGCCTGAACCAAATCTGAACAGAGTTTTGGAGGATCGCAGTTGAATTGTCCCTTGGAATGAACTACAATTTGCAATAGGGCTTATTCCCGCCGGTATGCAATAGAATGTTTATGATGATGAAATGGATGTTTCGTACAAGGTGTGGGTCCTATATCTGAGAGAACTTTTATCCCTAAGTCCACCTTCGGTTTAGGTTGAAAAAGGAATTAAGGATATCCTCGTGTAGAAGTTTCTCAACGACAGTGTCTTAGTATATGCAAAGTCCTGAAGACATCGGTCGAAGATATTCCCTCGAGCATAAGTATTTCGAGCACTCTCCTTCAGTAAGTTAGGTGCTGGAGAAAGCATAAAGAAATTCTCTGAAGCTACTGCAATTCCTCCATGTGCACTGAATCGTCATAAATGAAAATCGGAAACCCTTCTTCACAAAACATTGACAATTGACAGAATGCACAGTTTAGGAATGCTACCGACGAAAATAAGAGGACTCCATGGTCGTTTTGTTTGTTGGTCGTCATCAACCAGTCATACTTTGACCTTCCGGCCTCTGGGCACAAGAAATTTTAAACCAAATCACTTGGTCACCAAATATTTGGATCAGTCGTCCCATCACTTGAGTCACATGCCAACGCCCTGCCGACTGACACTGTGAATACACACTCGCATTAGATTCGCGACAAATCCCAGCATCAGATAGCTGGCAGGATCAAACAACGGACTGACGCATGGTAGATGGAAGATAGAGTGAGGTCAGGATCGAGGAATTCACTCCCACGACACTTCAGCGCACTCCTCACTTTAAACAATTTGATGCGTTTAAAGCTATCATGACATGCTAAAAGTTGTGGCCTGGAGGGCTGCCAACTGAGGGGGTTGGTCGATCCTCTCGGGGCGGAGAGTCACTTCCAGTTGCCCTTCTTAGTGCGGCCTTTTTGCTCCCCCAGTAAGATGCGATCTCAGCCACCCTCTTGTGTCTGTGGAAGTCTGATCCATCTTGCGCAGATCTGGTTGTTTGTGGCACACATAGACGGACTGTGTGAATTTATCAGTTACCGCGCGCGGAAGCACGCATCCGATCGTCCCAAATTTGTCATGCCACTACCAGGCGAAAGTCTGTTATCACCCTAAATCAATTGCATGCAAAAGTCACCGTCCTGCAACCACCAGGCTGTGAGGCCCTCGGCGGATACCATCGTTCGTGACGGTCGGAACTGACAGACGACCTTGATCGTAGGACGAGACACTGACCATTCCTGTCTGATTTCGATCTTCAGACTAGAACCCTCGCAGGCGGGAAAAAGACCAGTTTCCGGGAAAAGTCGCAAGGAA